TCTAGAGGGGAGGGGGGTGGGGGGATGGGTTAGCCTGGTGGTGGGTATTAAAGAGGGCACGTTCTGCGTGGAGCACTGGGTTTTATGCACCAACAATGAATCATGGAACACTACATCAAAAACTAATGATGTAATGTATGGTGATTAACAATAAAATCTAAGAACAAACAAACAAAAAAGATATGTGACTCTTTTTAAAAGATTCAAAATTATTTATCTGCAAGTATATCCTATATTATACATACTATATAACATACAATACATAAAATATTACATAGATTGTATGTGTGCATGCATGTGTGTATTTATAGGTGTCCTGAAAAGGTAAACTAACGAAGTTTGTGGGGAGAAAAAAATGTTGGGGAAGACCATGGAAAACCCATGTAACTTTGTAGCCATGACATTAAAAGACAATTATTGGTATGTAGGGATAGCTCAGACAGATAGTTTAGCAGGCAGAAGGCTATTGTTATGGAATTTTGAAAGTGTTTCATAACATTTTAGAGTTATTTTCATGACCTGCTTCATGTAGATTATTTACAGAATTGAAAAATTTCATTTTATGTTCAGCTGAAGAAACTGACTTGGGGTATAGAAGAAACAGCTTTCCCTAAGGGTCTGCCACTACAGGGCTGTGTGTCCTGGGGTGGGTCTTGTCATTTTAGTGGTCTTTACTGATAAGGAGATTGAGATTGAGTTGCATGACCCCCAAATTCATCCCAATGGTTAGATCCTGTGATGTAAAGAATCATTTAAAAGTCAAGAAATTTTTTGGTGGGTTCTTTTAATCATATAATTACTATATTGTTGTTTTGACCTACTCAACTACTCAAGATGAAAAATTTGTTTGAAGTCCTTATCCATTAGAAAACCTCCTCTGGTTGGATTCTAAAAGAACTTACTTTTAGGAGTTTTTAGGAAAAGAAAGATTCAGATGGTTCCCAACTTAGGATGGTTCAACTTCCAATTTTTCCACTTTATGATGGTGTAGAAGACATGTGCATTCAGTAGAAACTTTACTTTGAATTTTGAACCTTGCTTTCTCCTCCAGAGCTGGTGATATGTAGTAGATACTCTCTGGTGATGCTGGGCAGTGACAGCGAACCACAGCTCCCAGTCAGCCAGTGGTCAGGAGGGTAAACATCCAAAACTGACTACTATTCTTCACCCATACAACTTTTCTGTGCTTCACTTTCAGTACAGTATTCAATAAATTACATGATATTCAACACTTTCTTATAAAGTCGGATTTGCATTGGATAATTCTGCCCAACTGTAGACTAATGTAAGTATTCTGAGCGTGTTTCAGGTAGGTTAGGCTAAGCTACAATGTTTGGTAGGTGAGATGTATTAAATAAAATTTTTGACTTACTACGTTTTCAACTTACAATGAGTTTATTGGGACATAATCCCACTGTAAGTGGAGGAACATCAGTGTGTGTTTTAAAATGATCTGTCAGAGAACTAGGTAACAATGCCAATGATGTCTATTTTTTTTTTTTTGATGGTAATACCACACATACCCTCTGGAAAACCAACCCAAAAATCCATATGAAAAGAAAATTACATCAACCACAGGTCTTGTGCAGATGCAGGAGTAAAGAGGTCAGAACATCTGATGTACTCTCATTCCCATCTTTGTAACTGTCCTACTGAAAATATGCAGGCTCTGAGATCCCCCCCCCCCGCCAACTCCTGATCGTGGTTCTGGTGAAAGAGCGGAATCATGGCAAGCTGTGTGGGGACAGGGAGTGCAGCCTTACCTTTGACTGTCACGTGGACACTCTGGCTGGTGGAGAGCTGCGGTTGAACCAGCACATTGCACGTGTACTCTCCCTCATCCACTTCTTTTTGCACATCCGAGAGTTTTAGAGTGCCGTTGTTCTCAAATGCCACTTGGCGATGGTTGAAAGGAAGCAGATTAGAGTTCTTGTACCATTTGATGGAGTAATAGGGATAGCCAATCACACGGCAGTGGATGTACGTGTCCCGCCCTGCTATCGCTGTGATATTTTTCATTGGTCGAATGCTTGCAGGCCCTAGAGAGACACAAAGAAACTATTGAAAATAATTTAAGGGTACATCTCATGTGTGGAAATGGGTGCACTTTTCCTTGAGTAAAAAAAAAATGTAGATTATTTTCATGTAAAAACGTCTTTTTCGATTAAACAATTTTTTCTGTGTTTGGATTTTTCTACTCAGAAGTTCTTTGTTTCCTTTTAGTTTCATTACTTTCAAATGAATTGAATGAAGTGTTAAAAACTTTCATTATCAACTACTTCTATTAAAACATTTTGAATTACAAGACAAGAGGCAATTTAATCAACAAAAAGTAACTAGTCTCCACTGAACCATCATGCTGTTTTTGTGAAAACACTGGTAGCAATTCAATTTTTAAACTGTCTCTGTGAAGTAGGTTATGAAGATGGAGGTTATGCCATGTTGCACTATGAATGTAAGTTAAAATACCATGTACATGAAGGTTTACCATGAATGTGGTAGAACAGAAGAAGAGGAGGAAGGAAAGAGCATGCAGAGCATAAACCAGGAAAGGAAAGATCAAGTGGACAAATCTGAGAGTAACAGAGAACAAGCTGACTGAAGAAACCAAAAGGCCATTTTTTTTCACATTAACCCAATCAGGGCCATTCTGGAGTCAGAAGGAAAGGGTAGGAAATGGAAAGCAACAGTTAATCTGTTTTGGCATTCCAAGACTCAGCTCGGTGCATGCAGAAACTTTCTTCTCCACTACAATGAGTTATGTGTGTTTTTTTGAGGAGCTGATTTGACAAGCACCTCTTACGTTTATTCGAGCCTGGTACAGGACGACTCCCGCCGAGTTGTTGGCAGTGCAGCGGTAGACTCCCCCATCCCGGACCTGAGAGCTGGAGATGTTCAGGTAGCTGACCACGTTTCCCTCCGACGTGATCATCTGGCTGATGCGGTGACTGCCACCCTTGAGGATCGGGTCATCGTCCAGGGTCCACGTGATCGTGGGCAATGGAGTTCCCTTCACGTTACACATGAGGGACACTGGTTCTGCTGGGCTCACCACTTTTTCACTAAAGGCAGAAATAATTTTGGGAGTTCCATCTGCAGAAAGACAAATTATGGAAGGAAGTGGCACATACAAATAATTAAACACTTCCAAGTCCATTTATTTAATGATTAGGAGGTAGATGTGTTGGTTATTAAACACTACAAAAAAAAAAAAAGTCTGGTTTTATGGATAAAGCTAAATTCCAAGCAGAACAAGGTTTCATTTTCAAAATGGGCAAATACAGTATTAACAAGCTTTAATTACTTATATATTTCCTGGTTGTCATAAGAAGAACAATCATGCAACCCAGATGCCCATGGTACACAGTGTCAGCTCCCAAGAAATATATAGTCTGGAACTGTTACATCCCCACCAGAAGTGATAAACACAGAGGAAATTCACCCCTCTAAATGGTCACATTAGCTTTCCACTTCTGCAATAATTAGGGCTCGCTCACCAGGGAATGAAGGAAAGGCTGAGGGATTATCTCACTTTATTCATTTTCTCATAAGAAATCATCCTTTAATTATTAAACTCTACATCTGGAAATAATGATGTACTATATGTTAGTTAATTGAAATAAAAAACAGAAATCATCCTTTATAGTTTTACTGATAAATGGTAAGTCCGTGTAAATGTCCATAAAAGCTCTGAAAATGGGTAAAAGCCAAATAAACTTTGAGCCTTCCAGTGTGTATTAAATATCTCTGTAAGTATCTTAAGTTGGTGGGTATACAATTTATCATCCAACCTGGTACACTTTTGAGAATGAAACAGATACTAGGAGTAATTATGCCAGGAAGACAGGCACAGCCTCAGATTGTCCCAGGCAAAGTAGGATCTAGGTCTTAAGGAGTTTTCCATAGGAATTTCCAATGTTTTCAACAAAGATAAAATTTTCATACTCCATTGTTGTTCTATCATATATGTGGACCATTTCCCTCACACTGTATGGTAGTAATCCCAAATGCATTGCTGACAAATTGGAAAGCAAAACAAATGGAGGGAACACATCTGAAGCTAGCTCACAATGCCATCACAGAAAGGTAACTGTTAACACTCCCAAGTACTCTGAAGAGTTTCTCATCCCCAGCCCCGCCAAAAACTGGAAGCCTATTTCTGTGGCCAGTGAGGCCAGCTCTGTAGGGTTCTCCTGATGGGGGTGCTGTTCTAAGCCCTCTACCATCTTTCCTCTTACAAATTCCTGAATGTCAACTCCGTTCTAATTCCAGGTGACTGGAGAAGGCCCTCAAGTTTTTTTATTTTTCCCTCATGCAATCATAAGTGGCGTATTTCAGTGTTCTTGGATTGCAAGCATCTTGCTTTAGTACAAAAGATGAAAACAAGGACTTCATAGTATTGAAGTGAAGAACCTGTGCAGACACTGCTTCCGCATGCTTTGCCTTATGGAGAAGTTTAGATGTCCCTGTGATTGTTATTCTTTGTACATAATCGGCTGTTGAAGCTTAGGAATGTTATTTATTTTTTCTTTTTTTTTTAATTTTTTGGGTTTTTTTATTTCAAATGCTTAGGAATGTTATTTTATTTAATAATAATTTATTATTAAATGAATAATATAAATAATTTATTTAATAATAATTACAATTCACATTTTTTTCATGATGTGCTGAGCTGTAAATTTCTTTGCACTGATTTTTACACAGCATACTGAAAACTTGTCTTTTTTTATCTATTTAGGAAAGTATTCTTCAGTTATTCTTTTTTTTGTAGATAAAATTTACATACAATGAAATTTACAGATCTTAAGTGTACAAACAGAACGAGCTTGTTAAATATGTACACTGTGTAACCACCCACATGAGCACGATGTAAAGCATTTCATCACCCCAAAACATTCCTAGGACTCCTTTCAATCTCACCAGAGGCAGTCACTGTCCTGATTTCTTTCACCCTCAGTTAGTTCACCTGTTCTTGAGCTTCACATCCATGTAGTCATAGAATTGTGTGCTCTCTATTCAACAGATATTCTACCATTGCCACAACAGTCAGCAAAATTAAGAAATGTAACTTTGGAACAGTATGACCACCTAACATGAAGTCCATATGGAAAGTCAGCCAGCTGACTGGTCATGTCCCTCTCAGCTATTTCCCCCAGCCCAACCAGTATCATACATCCCATTTATTTGTCATGCTTCTTTAGTCTCCTTCAATCCGGATCATTCTGTCATCTTTTTTGTATTTCTTGACTTTGACATTCTTGAAGAATTATACGATAGCCAGTTGCTCAAACTGTTTTTTTTTCTATTTCCGCATAATTAGATGCAGTTTATGCATTTTTGGCAGGAGTATCACGGAAGTAATATTGTCTTTATGTGATTATTGGCCACTGTGTATCTCCTTTTGTGAAATATCTGCTCAAATCTTTTGACCATTGTTATGTTAGACTACTTTTTTATTGATTTATAGGAGTTCTTTATTATACTGAAGATAAGTATTTCCCAGCTATCTTCTAATGGCCAAATATATTTGTCAGGTATATTAAATAAATATGTGTGTCAAACATCTATATAGTATGTATTATAGCTGTGTATCTTTGAATGTGTAAAATGTTTTCTTCCAGTTTGTAGTTGCCTTTTATTTTCTCAATGATGTATTTGCCTTTGACTTTTAGTGCTTTCTTTATCCTAAGAAAGCTTTGTCAATCCCCCAAATGATGAAGAATTCTTTTATGCTTCCTTTTAGAGACTTCATAGTTTGGGATTTTATATCCTAGTCTATAACTTAGAGCAAATAAAATCTGTACAAGGTATAAGGTGTGAAGTATAAATTGATATTCATTTTTTTGTGTTATGTTCATTGAGTAGTTTCAGTATTGTTTGTCAAAAAGATTTTCTTTTAGCTTAGGAATATTGTGGACTTTTTTTAAATTTTATTTTATTATATTATGTTAATCACCATACATTACATCATTAGTTTTTGATGTAGTGTTCCATGATTCATTGTTTGCATATTATACCCAGTGCTCCATTCAATACGTGCCCTCTTTAATACCCATCAATAGGCTAACCCATCCCCCCACAACCCTCCCCTCTAGAAACCTCAGTTTGTTTCTGAGTCCATAGTCTCTCATGGTTCATCTCCCCCTCAGACTTCCCTCCCTTCATTTTTGCTTCCTAATATTTTTCTTTAACATATAATATTATTTGTTTCAGAGGTACAGGTCTGTGATTCATCAGTCCTACACAATTCACAGCGCTCACCTTAGCACATTCCCTCCCCAATGTCTATCACCCAGTCACCCCATCCCTCCCACCATCCACCATTCCAGCAACCCTCAGTTTGTTTCCTGAGATTTAGAATTCCTCATATCAGTGAGATCATATGATACATGTCTTTCTCTGATTGACTTATTTCACTTAGCATAATACCCTCTAGTTCCATCCACATCGTTGCAAATGGCAAGATTTTGTGTGGTTTTTTGTGATGGATGCATAATATTCCATTGTATATATATACCATATCTTCTTTATCCATTCATCTGTTGATGGACATCTTGGCTCCTTCCATAGTTTGGCTATTGTGGACATTGCTGCTATAAACATTGGGGTGCACATACCCCTTCGGATCACTACATTTGTATCTTTGGGGTAAATACC